CAAATCTCCCCTCCTTTCTCTTGTGATTTTCGCATGTCGGCGACGTTTACAGAATAACTACTTTGCCTTGTGCTATTTCTATTGAGTTCAGTGCGCATGCGCAATTGTCCATTTCCTATCACGCGGGTTTGTTTATATGTCACAATTACGATCATGCTAACAATGATAATGGGTGTAACTGGGTCATACCAGGGAGCTTTGATGTGTGGTAAGTCTAGGGTACTTAATGGACTTACGGACCACTCTCCAATTGTATTACTCACGTAATACATATACTAAAATTGGAACGATACAGAGAAGATTAGCATGGCCCCTGCGCAAGGATGACACGCAAATTCGTGAAGCGTTCCATATTTTTCGAATCTTGATACGAGATCCTTTTTACAAACCCTTATCCTAACGCCCAGTATATGATGCTATTTCTTTTTTAATTTCGATGTTTTTTTGGGAGCAGCTTTAAGGCAGTTCTCTGAATGACAGCACGGTTATATATAGGCCTAATTTAGGTAAACAATAATACAACGTCATAACAATCGCCGCTTAAAACAATTCAATGCATTGTTCTTGCTATTTGATGCCAGTATTGTAGGTTGAAGTGCCGAATAGGGTTTCCGAAGCCAATGAATTGCCAAAAAAACTCAATTACGTCATAATTAGCAATACAATTGACATATATATGCTTCCACAATGGGACGATAATTGCACTTATAACCCTTCCAACCGCATAAAAACTAATTGTTGCTATATTAGACAGATGGATATACACTTATCAATAAAACTTGTCCTATTATCGTCAATGCGAACTTGAAATTGACCCTTTTTTCCAAATGACGCTATTGAAGCACGCGTTTTCACTTCGGCGACACATTGTCATTGAGAAATGACTAGGAGTTTACCTCTAGCAGACGATTTTTCTTTCTAACATTCATACGTATTCACCTATTAAACAGGAGACCGGGATATTATCCTGTCCTATCTACTACCTATCGCCACATCTTACGGGCACGTTCTATGGTCACATCCATTAAAATGTAAGTGATGTTTCAACATTAAATCCCCCCTCCCTTCTCTTGTGATTTTCGCATAGTTGTTTTTCTTTGGGTTGTTTGATGTCGGCGACGTTTACTGATATAACTACTTTGCCTTGTACTATTTCTATTTAGTTCAGTGCGCATGTGCAATTTACCATTTCATATCACACAGGTTTATACGTCACAATTACGATGATAATAGGTGTAACTGTGTCATACCAGGGAGCTTTGATGTGTGATAAGTCTAGGGTACTTAATGGACTTACGAACCGCTCTCCAATTGTATTACTCACGTAATACATATACTAAAATTGGAACGATACAGAGAAGATTAGCATGGCCCCTGCGCAAGGATGACACGCAAATTCGTGAAGCGTTCCATATTTTTCGAATCTTGATACGCGATCCTTTTTACAAACCCTTATCCTAACGCCTGGTATATGATGCTATTTCTTTTTTAATTTCGACGTTTCTTTGGGGGCTGCTTTAAGGCATTTCTCTGAATGACTGCACGGTTATACATAGGCCTAATTTAGGTAAACAATTATACAACGTCATAACAATCGCCGCTTAAAACAATTCAATGCATTGTTCTTGCTATTTGATGCCAGTATTGTAGGTTGATGTGCCGAAGAAGGTTTCCGAAGGCAATGAATTGCTAAACAACTCAATTACGTCATAATTAGCAATACAATTGACATATATATGCTTCCACAATGCGACGATAATTGCACTTATAACCCTTCCAACCGCATCAAAACTATTTGTTGCTATTATAGGCAGATGGATATTCACTTATTAAAAATTTTTTTCCTCTTATCGTCAATTAGAACTTGAAATTGGCCCTCTTTTCCAAATGACGCTATTGAAGAACGCCTTTTCACTTCGGCTGGACCACATTGACATTGAGAAATGACTAGGAGTTTACCTCTAGCAGACGATTTTTCTTTCTAACATTCATACGTATTCACCTATTAAACAGGAGACCGAGATATTATCCTGTCCTATCTACTACCTATCGCCACATCTTACAGGCACGTTCT